GGCACACTGAAAGACAACCTGTTCACACTGTTTAAATTTCAGTAATTATTAACTGTTTAAAATATCCTACTTATTTTGCCCAGTTCGGTCTCCTTATCTTTTTCCTTAACTGTAACTAGCTTTTGATATCAAACCTTATATTTCTGAAATGATCTTCCAATTACGTTTAGCTTTAGACATATTCTCACTGGAAAATGAATTTTATAGAATTAAATTGTGATAAGAAATAAATGCTTTTTGCACGATGAATACTCTCCCCCTTGGAACCCTCCAGTATTCCTTCAACCAGAAGCCTTTGTGATTAAAGCAAAGAAACTGGACAGCAGCATTTAAAAAAAAAAGGCTAGCAGCCACTGTAATACGTTTCTTGCAGTGTGTACTACCACCCAGTGGTCAGAATGTCTGTGCTAAAATCACTGCTCTACTAGACTTTAAAAATAAAGGGGGCTTGATTAAAACATGAAGAAGTAATCCTAAATTTGATTTTATACTATAGTTTTGCATATTTCTTTTTTCCTAAAGTTAAATTGGACAGGATAGCACCAAAAATCATAACTTCAGTACCTTCTAGAATTAACTGAAATGCCAGCCATGCATTTCCCCACACAGCAGGTAGGATTCCCAACACTGATCAGTGGTAGGAGGGACTGATTCAATATTTCTAAGCACATGGGAAATACATACAACTTTCTCCAGTGAAATTTGCTTCCAAATAAGTGTGTGTCAGATCATAATTGAAGTAACTGGACAGTAATTGAAGGCACTGAGTCACATTTTTAAAATGCCAACAAACATGGCTGCAGTAAGAACTTATTTTCAAGGATCTGCAATTAATTATGTTATATAAATCAGGTTGTATTAAAGTAAAACTCTGAAGATAAATGGCATCAGAGAGAAACATAATCAGATAAGCAATAGTTGTTGGCCTACTTGTCCAAAAGTGGGAAAAAGGAAGACATTTAAGTATAGTCCGTGCTTATGCAGACTATCAAGGGTCAATAATTTAAGGCCTAATCTGGGTTCATGTAATATAGCTATATAACCATATAGCTGGCAAAATACAGCAAATGAAGGATTTGTCTGAAACTTTCCAAGCAATTGTCATCCAACTGGAGCTAAGTTAGGTTAGGAAGTTTTCAAAGGTAATCTTTAGGCCATAGCTGGCAAAGGCTGAAAATCCATACTGCTACTGGGAAGTAAAAAATCTTTGCAATCAGAGGGGCATGCTTCTAAGTAAGCATGCACAGGACTGCATAGTAAGGCTGCAGTCCTGAAGCTACTGATCTACACATAAGCCCAGCCGAAGACAATATTACTACTTTTCCAATGAAGATGGTTAGGTGTTACTTGATACTCCATTACTTCAACATGTCAATGTCATGTTATTCTGGCATTTTACCAATTACTCATTTTTCCAGTAATAGAGACTATTTAAAGTTGATCTAAAATTAGATTAATTTAGATTAACTACAAATTAGATTATCTAAAATTAGATTATTAGCATCTTCTCAGGGCTTTGTATGTGGCAGAGTCAAGTTTGCACTGAGTAACTAAAATTATTATTATTGTTGTTTACCAATATCATACATGTTACAAAAATTCACAACCCCTTTCAGCACAACTAAGAGGCTAAGGGAAGTGTTATGCTAACTCATATTGGGTTTTGTTTTACAAAACTTTAAACTGAAACTTTTGGGGAAATTGTTTACTCCAGTATTCATTGTTAAAGTAACTAAATTTATCAAGTGTAAGCATGCCTAAATATTTCGATGTGCTAAATACATGGCTATTTCCATAAGCCACATAAAATGCTGCTGAATTACGATGAGTACTTTTGAACAAAGCTTTACATTCTTTAGCCCTCAGGAGGATATTTTAAGCTTCTTCTGCTTGCCTAACATTAAACAAAAGAATGGGGCACCTTCCTGAAATATTCCTGCTCAGGAAAATTGTAGCTACTAGACGGGGTGCTTAGGAAAGCATTTTGCTGTCATCATTAACTAACCCTGAGTAGTACACTTAACAAAACTGTTAGACAATTTGTTTTAAATACAGCTGAATTATGTTGAACCAAAATAACTTTGCAAAGTTGCTTTTTTTAAATAGCATCCAACACCTACTTACACTTCTAAACTTACTGATAAAAATCTGTACAGCAATCTCTATCCACTTGAACATGTAGATGAGCTGACACTTTCTTCAATCCACAGAGGGCACTATGAAATAAATCAAATGGCTATGCAGAACCAAAATCGCTGAACAATCAAGTTTTGTACAGCAAAGCTGAATTAATTCTAGTTGTCATCCTGTTGACATTTATAGCCTAAAGAGATATATCGGTAAAACACTGCTGTGGATAGCTGCTAGAATGAAACCAGTCTTTCACATCAACATCTCATCAGTAAGCACATACAATCACACCCCCTTATCAACTACAAAGTTTTAAAAGTTTAGGATAAAAACTTTATTTCACTGACCTACTTTGAGGCACATGCAGCTAAAAGAAATAACTAGGTTGCTAAGATAGCTCATCCATTAAGTTTCTAAGTGCAATATTTTGCATATTTAGTGCAAAGGGGATCTTTTTGTGCAGGGCTACTATAAAAAAATAGTTTAAAAGGTGCAGTAAAGCCTTTTCACATATTATAAACAATTTATCTCATATTTGCATAGCTAACCAAATGGATCAAACCAAAGAGTATGAAGTGTTCACCTAGTTTTTTCAAGCATGAGAACGGGTATACTTAAAGTGAGTACATCTTTCGATTAAAAAGAAATACTTCCAGTTCCCTCTTCTTTTGTTCAAAATTAATGTCCTCTTTCAAAATCATGGCTCCATGAAGCTCCCAATTTTATTTTGTGAAAACCTGGCCACAGTATATCTTAACAGTGGGGGACATTTCCCCTTTCATCCTGCAAACTCAGCTATAATGGCTTGATGTAGGGAATATGCAAGGACAGCTCTAGAAAAGGCAATGCTGAGCCAGGCAGCAGGATTCCCTTCTGGGTGGACAGATCACTGCTGCCTTTATTATGCAAACACACTGTTTTCAGCACTAGCTTGGAATATAAAGGAGAAATGCAAGATATCAAACTAAATAAAAACTAAAGAAAACTGTTCTTCCTTCTTACTGAAAGGGATTGAAAAGGGTGAGGGTAGAGGTTTAATCCACATTTTTGAAAGTCTTTCTCTCTTTCCTTCCAGTGAGCCCTGCTTTATTTTATCCTTTTGTTTTGGTGTAATTTTGAAAGAAGGGATTTATAAAACCCAAGAACTTAATGAGCTTTACTGCTTTCATTTTAATCCAACATTGCTGCTAATACAATAGGGGCAATAAGTGAGGGCTTGAATATCAAATGGTGCAAAAAGGGAAAGATTTTAAGCATTTGGCAAATTCATTATCCTCAACAACACACATGATGCCCTCTTTCCTAAAGGCAAGATATTCAAATATTCTATAAATTTAATTTCAGTTTTAACATCTACATTTTCCAGGAACAGTACTAATTAAAATCCATTCTCTTTAATGACTGAGGTGGTTTCTACAGACTTCACGTGTCTTCTAAATATCCTTCCATCCTAACTCTTTTTGCTACTAGCCTTACTTGAAATTATTTTTCTGTTATCCAGAGTAACTAGAAGATCCAGGGCACTGTTTCTCCCCTGAGCTGGTTAGCCAAAGTGGATTACGAAGTCCAAAAACGGATTATAAACTTCAGAAGCTCATAGCTTCCCCAGTAGAGTTAAGGCAGCTGAACAAATAAGCCAACTTGTTAATTACAGAAGCAGAGTCTCCTAGTTATTTGCTGGGCTTTGGGGATGCTATATTCTGTTCCTTTCCTATGCTAAACAAGTGCTAAATCCTTTATCAGCAGTCTGTCAATACCATATTTTAATGTATCAGATTGATTTAAAAAATCTACTTTCAGCAACTTATTTTTAATATAGTCAAAAATACACTGTCAGAGAGCCAGGGTGGTGGTCAGAGTGTTGGGCTGAAGATTTGGAAGATCTAGTCCCCACAGCCTTGAAATTAAGTGAGTGACTTTGGGTCAGTTACTCACTCTCAGCCTAACCCACCTCACAGGATTGTTGCTATGGGGATAAAATGGACTGGAGAAACTGTGTAAACCACCTTGGGTTCCTCACAATAGGAAAAAAGGCAGGATCTAAATGCAATACAATGATGATGATGATGTTGATGAAATTTCTAGGATAATACACACCAAGAATTTACACCAAATATTAAACAACCTCTCACATTACTACCTAAAATTAGTTTATACTAATTTTTCAGAAATACAAATTCTATCCATATAGTTATACTTTCCAGTATTTTATTGGCTAAGCACAGAATGATAATATCCATAGAACTGAGTTTCAAAAAGGCAATGAAAGAAAGCTTTAATGCTTAAACTAGTTCAGTGATATATAGTTGAGGTGTGTATGAAAGGATAATGATAGCTTAAAATATGTTTTTGGCCTACACAGCCTCTGAAAACTCATTTCTAATTTGAAGTGATACAATGTAGAAGGAAAAACAGGTGATCCTAAGCATGTATATTGAAAAATAAATCCTACTATACTCAATGGGGCTTATTTCATAGTCCATGTGCTTAGGTTTTCAGCCTTAATGATATTCACAGGATTAAGTTTTCCATTTGAGAAGGAAAATTACCTGCATGCATTCCAGGGGTGGGGGAGGTATGCATTGTTAGTCCTACTTAGAACAGACCCACTGAAATGAATGGGACTTAAGATTAATTTTGGATACAATCCATAAAAAAAAATGTTCATAGCCTGTTATCATTCCTGATTTTTTTAAAAAAATCAGATTATCAGAAGTAAGAATTTTATTCACTCAGTGCCATGTTTTATATATACAAGAATATCTTCTGTATGTTATGCAGAAAAACAGGGACAAATTGGATCCAGAATGAACTTACAGTTGTCCAGAAAAAGCAATATTATAGGACCCAGTCAGTATACTATGCCAGAGCTTTTGAATAAAAGCACTGCAGTTTCACTGTTTAAACTATAGGCAACTGTCTTGTTTCTTGAAAGCAGAAAACCGTAAACAGGGATATACATGCCATCCAAAGAAGCTTGGCCTCGCTTTGTAATCCAAGGAGTCATGTGTCACATTTGCAAAACAGCTCCTCTTTGGTCTGCTGATCAAAGCTGACTTTCATTGCTGTTTTGTTTAGACTGATTCCATGCAATAACTGACAGCAGCATATCCAATGTAAAAAGATTTGTTCCATTATCACTCCCATGAGAGTTTATTGTTATATATACTAAGCCATGGAAAGTGTGCACAAGGGGTGTACTTCATCTTTTCATGATAACAAGTGTGTGTGTGTGTGTCTGTGTGTGCATTTTCTCCTTGCTTTCACAGGCAATGACTGAGTGAAATTTCAGAAAGAAAGCCTGCTGCTGCTATTAGCATGTTTCTCCTCCTCCACGGAAAAGAGCCTCTGAAATAACGTTCAAACCAGCTAAGACAAGTGAGCACCTGCATTTACAGACAGAATGAGGAAATATCCTGAGGTGGAAGTTCTGATGAAGTACTGAGCAAACAGTGAAGCCCAGCAGGTATGGATTTATCAGGACACATCTACTGTTGAAAGTTTATAGTTGGATGAATCTGAACAGAAAAAAAGTCTCTTTCCTCATTCTTCTGAAGATGCAATCATAATTCGGTTCTTAGCACCATGAATGGTTTTGAACACATGGTGTTGAAACTACCATCTCTAGCCACGCTAGGTAGAAGAGCTTCTAAGAATTACAAAGAGGGACATTTTTGTTAAGGGTATTAAACCAAAACAAAAGAAGTTCTTCACACAGAGACTTGAAAAAAGAGGAGAACCCCCTCCCTCTGCTTCAAAGCCTCATTCCTGCAGAGTAACAAGAGTTTGAAGCTTTTATCCTCAACAACCTGATGTGCTTATATACCATGATAAAACTTTATGGGAACGTTAACTGAATATCGTGGGACTCACCAGGAAAGATATTCTCCCCTTAAGGATCATTTAACCTACTACTGTGAAGGAAGTACAACTACATGAACCAAACTATAAAATTCTGAGTCAACCTATCTCTGGAAAGCTGTATGCCCACTGGATATTAGCAAGCACAAAAGGTTCCCTCACATCTTTACAGAAGGTAAGATGAATATTAATACATTTCTTTGCCAATCAGAAAAATAAATGCAGCAAGTTTTGCAAGAAAAACATAGCAAGAACCACACTCTAAAGAAATAAGAGAACTTAAACATTAAGAGCGTTTCTATCCATTGAGCTGTTTCTTCTGTGGAATTCAGATTCAAGCTACACTATCAAATATGTATACAAAAGCACAACCATTTGTTTAAACAAGTGGCAAAAACTGCATAAAACCTACAAAGCCTCAAAAACACTGTAAAGTATCCAGTATTGCCAATACCTGTATTAGTAGCTAACCTCAGCAATCAGTGAAACCACGTCATTCTAGAAACAAGACAAGTTTTGCATTATACCATTTACTTTTGTTGAGAAAAAATATAATTTCTAGAGCATTTGTTTTTTCCTTCTTAATTTTAAAGGAAAATAGATGAATTAATGCATTAAATTAATGCACTGACATGTTAATTGATGTAAGATATGCCTCATGAAAGCTATTGGCATACTAAATCTTAACATGTAAGATATACTGAAATAATTTATCCTTTCAGAACTGGGTTAACAGTCTATGAAAATTATGTTTGGAATTTTGTACCTCTCCAGTATAATTCTTTTTACACTGAAAATATTGAACCACATTAATGAAAGTAAAGCCATTAATCATTTGTGTGACAAGGTACAACATCTACCCATGGCCAAAGTAAGCAGAAATCAATTTTAAATTTAAGAATTCCAAGCAAACATACTTCTTAATTATACTTCTAATTACTTATTTTTTTAGAAATCAGTTATCTTGGGTCACTGACTTACCATTAGCCTATGAGTCTAAGGAGAATTTGAACAATTAACTGCAAGTCTCAATGTTAATGTTCAGATAAAGCCCCAAATTTAGATGCCCACATTTTACAGGTGCAAGGCAAATGCCCCAATCTTTTTGTGATGGAATGCACATATGCAACAGGCTTTTTGAAAGCTCCTCCTGCTAGGGGAAAAAGTGTCGTTCTGCTAGCTGCTGCAAAATGACAAAGGTAATTTTAGAAACAGTGTTTAGTATAGTACAACAAAATCAAAGGGACAAAAACAAGGGGAAACCTTCAGAAATGTCTAAAGGAATTTCTTGGATTGTCGCCTTAAAACAGTACCAAATGGTGTCTTCTTAAAGAGAAATTGGTTTTATATTTGATTAGGTATGATATTTATGGGAAAAACATCCTGCAAACTTGTCTAAGACTGAAACCATATATGTGCATGGACAATATATGGACAAAATGTAATCTTACTATATGTAAATTCTTGGCAGTAACATTTTTTAGGTGGCAATCCCATTCACATGTACCAAGGCATTAAGCCCATGGAACATGATGGAGTTTACTTCCAGTAAATATGCACAGGATTGTGCTGTCTAGAGTTACTTTTAACATTTCAAAATGGCATTTCACTGTGTTCACTACTATTAATCTGATTTTTTTCCCTAGATTGCTGAAAACCAAACGCTAGTCTGTGTGCAAACCTCATTGCGACTTGACCATGATCAGTGTAACCTGGAACTTCATCCTAATTTGGACAGAGATAGGGCTTTTGCTCAAAATGGCACCTCATTTTGTCAGTGCCAAGTCATGCCCCTCAGTGTGCCGCTGTGATGCAGGATTCATTTACTGCAATGATCGTGACTTGACATCAATTCCTATCGGGATTCCAGAGGATGCTACAACCCTTTACCTACAGAACAATCAAATTAATAATGCTGGAATTCCATCCGACCTAAAAAACTTGATTAAAGTGGAGAGAATTTATTTATACCACAACAGTTTGGATGAATTCCCTATCAACCTCCCAAAGTATGTCAAAGAATTGCATTTGCAGGAAAATAACATAAGGACAATTACTTATGATTCACTTTCACAAATTCCTTATCTGGAAGAATTGCATTTGGATGATAATTCTGTTTCTGCTGTTAGTATTGAAGATGGAGCTTTCCGGGATAATATCTATCTCAGACTTCTTTTTCTTTCTCGAAATCACCTTAGTACTATTCCCTGGGGCTTGCCTAAAACAATTGAAGAGTTGCGCTTGGATGATAATCGTATTTCCACAATTTCAGAGGTGTCCCTTCAAGATCTTACAAATCTAAAACGTCTAGTTTTAGATGGAAATCTCTTAAGCAATCATGGATTAGGAAAGAAAGTCTTCATGAACCTAGTCAATTTAACCGAACTCTCACTGGTCCGTAATTCCCTTACTGCAGCTCCAATAAATTTGCCAGGCACAAATCTTAGAAAGCTTTATCTGCAAGAAAATCATATAAATCATGTACCACCTAATGCTTTTGCATACCTGCGACAGTTGTATCGATTAGATATGTCAAACAACAATCTCAGTAATTTACCTCAGGGTGTCTTTGATGACCTAGACAATATAACCCAATTGTTTCTCCGCAACAACCCCTGGCGCTGTGGATGCAAAATGAAATGGGTTCGTGACTGGTTACAGACACTGCCTCTCAGAGTTAATGTACGTGGTCTAATGTGTCAAGCACCAGAGAAAGTGCGTGGGATGGCTATCAAAGACCTCAACACAGAGGTATTTGATTGTCAATATGAGGATATTGTGAGCACCGTCCAAATTACTGCTTCAGTACCAAACACTCTACACCCTCTACAAGGGCACTGGCCAGTTTCTGTGACCAAATCACCTGAAATAAAGACTCCTAACCCACATAGAAACTACAAAACAACCGCTCTCCCAGTTCAGGAAATCATTACCATTGTTGTAAAATCTGTAAGCACTGAGACTATTCATATTTCTTGGAAAGTTGCACTACCCATGACTGCTTTAAGACTTAGCTGGCTCAAAATGGGTCACAGCCCTGCCTTTGGATCTATTACTGAAACAATCGTTACAGGAGACCGTAATGACTATCTGCTTACAGCACTTGAACCAGACTCTCCATACCGTGTATGCATGGTTCCCATGGAAACCAGTAACATTTATCTCTCTGATGAAACACCAGTTTGTATAGAGACTGAAACTGCACCTCTTAAAATGTACAATCCTACAACAACCCTAAACCATGAACAAGAGAAAGAACCATACAAAAATTCTAGTTTGCCCTTAGCTGCCATCATAGGGGGTGCTGTGGCACTCGTAGCGATAGCTCTGCTTGCTTTAGTATGCTGGTATGTCCACAGGAATGGGTCCTTGTTCTCAAGAAACTGTACATACAGCAAAGGACGGCGGAGAAAAGACGATTATGCTGAAGCTGGGACTAAGAAGGACACTTCCATCTTGGAAATCAGGGAGACTTCTTTTCAGATGATCTCTCTGAATAATGAACAAGTGTCCAAGGAGGAGTTTGTAATACATACCATATTCCCACCTAATGGAATGAATCTGTATAAGAATAACCACAGTGAAAGCAGCAGTAACAGGAGCTACAGAGATAGTGGCATACCTGATTCAGATCATTCACATTCATGATACTCAAGGAAATGCAAGACTTGGGGTGGCTGGTTTTTCTCTCTCACAAAGAAAAGCAACTGTATAAGTTGCTGTCCTACTGCAGAACACTGGATTAAGAGACTAAGTGAGCAATGTATTGTACATTTGCCATATAATTTATATTTAAGAACTTTTTATTAAAAGTTTCAAATTTCAGGAGACTGCTGCGATTCATGTAGCAAGGGTGCCTGAAAACAATTCTATATTTTAGTATTTTTTAGTAATTTGTACTGTATTTTCCTTGCTAATATTGAAATGACAGACCATTTAACTTTTTGTGTTCTACTGAGTAAGATGACTTGTTGACTGTGAAAGTGGATTTTCTTGCTGTGTTGAACAATCAGGACTTTGCATACATTTGAGATCCTTGTAAGTATAAGCACAGGCCTTTTTCACTTTGGTATTCGTAAAAGGTTAAACCTGGCAAATTCAGAAAAAAGGTTGCAAAATGGGTCAAAATGCAATCCTGGGTATAAAAGCAACTAAAGCTCAGTAAATCAAATGTGCAAAGTAGTGGGCAATATCAGTTATTTAGCCACACCCAGGAAAATGACTGGTGGACACTGCAACAGATGGCTGAAACCTAGATGAAGCAGTTGAAATACGAATTCAAGCACACATTGCTGCCCCAAACTAGTGGTTGCTAAACAAGAAAGAGAGGCTTAGTTTCTAATGGTTAAACTGGAAAACAGGTGTTTACAAAAATCTAAGACGTTCCTAAACATATGTCAAACACTAAATAACCTTTTTGTGTATTCTATAGGAGAACGTGGATAATGACATCTTTTGATACTACAAAAGCATATTATGATATGCAATAATATATACACTATATATATTTCAACTGCCATCAAGAATATTGCCCATTACTGTCACAGTTATCTGAAAATTGCTTAATAAACATGCAAGTGAAGATACTTTGATCTTGCTTTCTACTTAGTTGTGATCTATTTAATATTCAATACCCAACACACTTTTCTCGCCAAAACTATTTTTCCCCAAATGAAAACCAAAGTGCATTGTACGCCCTTTGGCCAATCTTGTATGTGCCTTTCTCAAAAGTTTCATGTGTTCTACTTTTAACTGGGAACACACTTTTCAAACACATACACTTAATTATGAAAAGATATTGGTCTTATTGATGAATAAAATTCAAAATGAAGTACAGAAAATTAAGTGCTCTTCTCATCCTCTGTATATACATTAAAAAGTGTTATACAATGGAGCATGTTCAAGTTCTCTGTTTCTCCACCAAAACAATTTTAGAGAAAATTAAGGTGACAAAGCACAAACCTAAATTACTTTCTAGTTTTAACATAATAACATAGTGTTTGACGGGTATTTTTCTCCAGTTACAGTCATAATATCACAGAATAGAACATAAGGAGGCAAAAATGAATAATACATTTTGGTAAATAAATATTAAGTTTTCTCAAGACATTTTCTTAATAGCAGAGCAGTGAGTAATTATGGATATAAGGCAGCATTGATTAGGCAGTATCTTTTGAAAATGTGAATAGGTTGGTATTTTTTACTCTTACATTTTTAACAGAGGCCATGCCTTAGGAAAGGGAAATAAAATGATGTCAAGTGCTTCCTTGTTTTTGGCAGGGTCAGTTCAGCCAGAGAGGCAGACGGGATAGTCAACAAGAGGCAGCACATTAGAAGGGGACAACCAACCATTCCAAAGGAGCACACTGAACCAAATGCACATGTTTTCAGTAGTCAAGATGGCAGAATCCCTGCATGAACCCAAAGTGCACCACACAGGAGTCAGAAAATCATATCCCATCCTCATGTGGAAAAAGCCTTCATGCTGCCCCACCAAGGACAGCAAAAAATCAAAGACATAGATGACACTACTTTTCATGAACTTGTAACTAGAAAGCCTGTTTCTGCCTCTACACTGGGCCAATAGTCTATGCTTACAGCTATTTTGAAACCAGTGTCTTACTACACCAGACTCTTTCTAGCAGTTGCTTCTGCACTGGATATTATCATCCCTGCAACCTCCAGCTCCCCTTCTCATGTATATATGAATGACAGCATAACACATGTTCATGTTGGAATGTGTCATACAGGTTAAGGGGACTTTAGTCTGCTGTTCAGTCAGTGAGCTGTAAGTGAAGAGCATGTTCCTTTAATAAGAATTGGCAAGGGCAACCTTGCAAGCCAATGTGGGCTTAGCTGCAGGAATTGGCCATAGTTTTAAGCACAAATCAACCCCTTCCCCTACTCCAAAATGTTGCTTTAAAAGGCTAAAATAGGAAGAAGTTAAAAAAGATGTTCAGATACACATCGCACACAAGTCATCATGTAGTAAGATGCTTTACATGGCTTATACCAGAAGTGCAGGATGTACCCTGTGGAGGCTTGTGGCCCCTCAGATGAATGTCACAGCAATCCCATGCTCCATCCAGCCAACCAAATCACCTATTTCCCACCACTGCATGAATGAATTGGAACCAATGTTTAGCAGTGGACATCATTTGCAATGAGACAAATGTCCCTGAAACATTTTTTCTTTCCATATATTTATTTCCATAAATCAGCATCCAAATAAGGCAGAACATGAAGATTTATTTGCCAATTTCTAAACCATTACTACATCATTATAACTGAATTATGTTTGACAGGGGCCAATTTTATTATCTTCTCAGTAAAGTACTCCAAATTAATACTTGAACTTTAAAGAGCATGATGGTTTGCTTTATGCCAAAATTATTCTTCCAAGGAATAAATACATATCTTAGCATGCCTAAAATTCCTTGACTTGCAGATAGCAGAGTTTGCATGTATCTAATTCTAGAACGCAAATCAGGCCATGGTAGGAAGCATATATTATGCTACTTTTCTTGAAAATAACCTTCCCTGCATATACCAATCTAACCCAGGTAATTCGCCTCCAACATTTTACACCCTAGTAAAATAATTGTGAGTTATTTTTGCATGATCACTCCATTATACAATTGCATCTTCTTGCCTTTAAGGAATTACATTTACCACACCTCAGCAATTTACCAAAACTAGCTTTTACCATGTGTGGTCATTTTCATCACATAAACTGTATGCAAAACTGGCATGGTATTATCACCTCAGATATATCCAGATATGAAGTTTGGGTCTTAGTTCCTGAGAAAAGTGCTCCAAATTCAGGTAAGTTATGTCCCATATTTGCCACCAGTTAATAGTCACAGATAAGAAGTATGACTGGGTCTCATGGGGGTTTTGTGGAGGGGTGTTAAATATTATCATGGAGTACAGAATACTTTGTGCCATTGCAGCAGCTGAAAAATGGGCACCCACAATTGCAAAAACTAGCCATGGACAATCTAAGATACAGAATACATTCTCTATGGTAATGCCATCATGGGAAAAAGCTGAAATGCCTCAGATTCTTAAAAAAAATGAAACAAAGAATTTAATCTTTTAATCTGAACAGGACAGAAAGTGATCTATTGAAATGAAAATGGTACTATTTTGTTTGTTGTTTTGTTTGCTTTTACTGCGGAAAACACTGTTATACTTTCCATTGTGTTTGCTGGTCCTGCAAGCACACTTTCTAGCACTCTAACTACTGTTCTGTCAGAAGACTCCAAATCAGTGGAATGCTTTTATTACAACAAATCCCATAGCATAAACTAATAATTATGGTCTTTGGAATTATATATTGTGGCATTTTAGTATAGGTTCTCAAAATAACTCCACACCAAGGTAGAGGATTAGAGTGTCTTTTAGGAACATTCCCAACATACCACACCAAAGTAAGGGACTGGCACCAATCCCAGCTGTTTCTGTGATGAGGAAAGGACTGAAGTCACCCCTAACTGGTCCTGCAACAAGGAACTCAATCCTAGAAACAGGCATGAGTTATTCACATACCTTACAGGGAATTGAGCCAAACTGTCACCGAGCTGAACCCTCTGGATGTTCTGAGTTTTGATCTTGAGACCTGAGCAAGTTTTATCTACATGCTGCTCAGACAGGGAAAACACCTGAGATCTGTTCTTGAGACTAGAATTGGGATTCCAAAGAAGGACTTGAACTACCAAGGACAGAGGGATCTGAGCCAACCATGCCACTTAGGTTGGAACTTCTGGGCACTGTGAATCCAGGCATCTTGACCATAGGTCCAGATCAGGCTCAGGATTGAATCCAAAGTAATTTCCCGTATGCAAAGATTCCAACCTCCAAAGCTCCCTATTTTGGAAACTCCTAAGTCCAAACTGAATACAGTCTATGGGCACAGTTCCCCATTAGACTGAGATGGAGCTAAATATAAACAGCACATATGCAGACAGGGGAGATGAAATGTTCCCAGTGAAAGCCTTAGAGGCTGTGCACAGACTTTAAAAGTGAAACTGTATCTATAGCAACTTTCCTCCCAAAATATGACTTAACAAAGGAGCTAGCATGACCACAAAGGACCGATCCCAGCACCATCCTTTATCTGCCAGGAGAGAGGTTTCAACTTGAGTGGCACCTCTGCAAACCACCCCTCTCCTCTCCAGCCAGGTTCCCAGAGAAGGCTGACAATTCCCACCTGCTTTCTAGTAAGAATTCGACATAGATAAGCTTACACTGGTCTTGGCATGTCACTGACTAACTGGACCCCAAACCCTTCCAGACCACTGCTGATCAGATTCTTGCAATGAACTAGAAGCCCCACTGTACTATGACACTGAACCTCTTACAAATTGGAATGCTTCAGAAGCAGTCTATAAAATAAACCTGCAAGCCTATATTTACCAAGAGGAGGACCGAAAGGATCCTGCAGTATCATCAGTCACTGTGCATTTATAAAGAATTTTGTCCCCCAGGAGGGCTCTCAGAGTTGGTCATAGTCCCTCCTCACTCTGGTCTTCCAGTCATTTGCCACATATACCAGCTATACCTGGCATCCATCATTATGTGAAGTTCAGTTCCATTGAGAGTGGTACATCTTGTTTATCTACTTCAGCTATCAACCCAGTAAGACAAATCTGAACTTTTCAAGATTTATTCACAACCAAGTGAAAATCTCTTCAGTAAAACATGTTAAAATAATAATAGAGAACTGCATAACCAAAAAGACAATTGGAAAGCCTGAACTAGAGAGCCAGTGTAGTATGGTCGTTAAGAGCTGGACTGGGGGTCTGGGAGGCCAGGATTCTAGTTTCCGCTTGGCCATGAACCTCAATGGGTGACTTTGTGCCAGTCACTCTCAGCCTACCCACTCTACAAGGTTGTTATTGTGAGGATAAAATGTAGTACAGGAGGACTACGTAAGCTGCCTTGGGTCCCTTGCAAAAAAAAGCAAGGCAGAGATAAATACAATCTAATAATAAACATGCCACAATATACAGTTCTGTTAATTTAAAGAGTGGTATCACTACTGATTACTTTCCCACAAGCCAACCCCACCCCAAAGTGTCACTTATCTGAAAATTTATTTTGTAGTTTTCCATATATGCTCATAATTGCCAACTATTAATCCCTCACCCAGAATTTAACAGAAGACAAAGAAGACTGCATGTGAAAGAGATCAGGAGGTGCAGCACTGTCTCCTAAATCTATTGTCTCATTTTGCACCCAACTTTATTGTAAGGGGCAAGAAGAACAACACAATGCTTCAGAAAACTGTAAATCAACAGACATAAGTCTGCCAAGCTTTTTCCTTAATTGGAATAATTAGAGTTTATTTTTATAATGCCGCCTATGATGGAAATAACTATCCCCCTGCACTGGCCTATGCACTATCCACTGTATACAGTATTTTGAAACTATTTCTGATATTGAAAACATACTAACAAGTTATCTAGCTGATTAACAGTATTCAAATTGATTTGAGCAACATACATGATAGTAGCCTGCAGAGAAGCAAAATCTCTGGCAAAATCTTTCATAAATATAGTAAATATTTTATATTATAAAATTTTATTGGGTGAAGCTACATGTAGTCCATGAATCTTGCAGCATAAATGAGGCATGCTATTTCAGGGTGGGGGGAAATATGCAGAGTCAGTGCATTTCTTGTTGAAATGTGCAGATTGTGGCAGCTTGCCCAAAGCTAAATTCATTGTAATAAAAACTCCTGGACTGGAACATGGTGCCATTTATGTTATTCGCCACCTGAATTGTTTTTGTAGTATATAAACCCAAAGCAAGCAGCTGTCAGTTTGAAAACC